GGACTGATACCTCCTAGTTGTTGACTAACTTTTTTAGACAAGCAAACAATACTATCCTTCATGACAGGAACAATTTCCATGCTAAAAAATAAAAATGTATTTAATTTTAAAATGTAACCAAAACTAGATAATAATCAAAAATTAATATTATAACTGGTATAAAATCTCAATGCAGTAACTGAATAAAAAGTTATCTTAGGTTGTGAAGTATTAATTATAATACTTTAGTGAAACCTTATTTTTATTCAAAATTGTTTTTCAGTACATTTTTTTTTCTACTGTATTGAGTAAGATTTTATATTTTCGGTATTCAATAACTACAAAAATACCTGTATGTGAATTTGTAATTATAAGTATTACTATGAATATCATGCGATAACAACTTTTTAGAATGCTGATATCGGCAAGGCAATACAGCAGTCATGAAGTCTACAAGCTTACGAGCTTGTGATTCAGTTGAGTAATAAAAATCCAAACCATCTGAAATAGATAATATTAGATTAATACCTTTGATATACTTTGCTCTTTCGGAGTAATAAAAAAAATTATTATCTTTTACTTGATTCTGGTTTTATAGACAATGTATTTTTATGCGCTTTATGTTTTAACATTAACTGTTCTAAATAGTAAAATGTTTTCTTGTTGTCTGATTTTTGTCTAACTTGTACCTGTGATCATAATTTTTAAAACTTTTAATACTGAATTAATTGTATTAATAATCATGTAGTTAAGAGGGTGCTATCCATTTGTTGTCTCTTTGTCTTACACACATATGACATACCAAATTTTCATTTGCTAGTTTCAATAGTGTACTACTATAGTTTATTCCAGAGAATAATCATTTTTCGCACATCACAAATGATTCAATTGGTGCGTCGAGAACCACATGATCACGTTAACACAGGGAAGTTGGTTGGGGATGCGTGGCACTGACGAGAATTGGTCAGTGGACTGATTGTTCTCTCGTTGAATAGACTATAGTTTTGATATCAGAGTGAATTGACCTATTATCAAACTTTTAGGTAAGAACATTATCTGTGGTTAAGCGTTGGAAATTTTTTTCAATATTTTTATTTTCAAGCAAGATATGGGTACCTATGTGAAATATTACAAATCAAAAATGATCATATCTTGCTTGATAGTTAAAATATTTAAAAAAACGCCAATGCACTCTAATATGAATACAAACCAGCAGACCATTGAAACTAGTGAATGAAAATTTGAAAAGTCGTAAGCGTGTGAGTCATCTTGAGAATCATTGTAAGATATAAAAAAAAGCTTAAAAAAATGTTGTATTTAATAATAGAATTATCAATAAGAATAAACTTACCAAAGCACGCCAATAATCCTGAGCTTCAGACCTATGACAATCATCACACATTTGATTTGCAACAGTAAATTCAACCACAAACACTTGTTGCAATGTCATGCCACTCATCACTTCACCATGCACAGTAAGTTTTACCTAAAACATAATTTAAAGTTTAAGACGTTTTTTTGAAATTATTATTTGTATAATTTATTTGAACCTTAATACGTTTGGAATGAGGTTCAGTCCAAATAAATCCAGCGTCCACTAGTTTCACTTTATTCAAAGCTTTCAATTTACGCAAGCATAGCCCCAACAGTTCCTTAGATTCGAGAGCACAGGATATCCACTCGAACGGCGGCTGTAGATATCGTTCACAGTTGCGACAAAATTGCAATATTCCTTGTTTCGGTATGTCTTGGGTGATATCCACATGTATACGAAGGCAAGAAACACACATGTTGGCAGGATTTGGCTCCATGGGCACACCGCACTGGCAACATAATCTATAGGAACACAATATAGCAATGAATAACGTTGACGACCGGTTGCGGGTGTACCGTCAGTTCGCGAAACGAGGATAACCGCGATACTTACATTTTGAGCACCGTCGCCGGCACCGAAGTCGGAGCGTAGTCCATTTCCGAGATGTCCATTATCCAATATTTCGATTAACTCGGTTCGACGCGACTGTGCGAACGTGCGAAATACTGCGAAGTGCGAATCAGACGATCGGTGAGAGCGTGTCTGGCGATCGCCATTGAAATCAACATTTACGTTCTACGCAATTGATAAGCGCGTCGATAACACACGACGATAACACAAGCGTGCAGTGTGCACGTCGATACGGACGAGTAGTCGTCGTCGTCGTCGTCGTCGGTTCGGTTGGCAGCGCTCGTTTGTGCCCACGTACGACAATTTCGCTCTTTGCTTTGTTTGCGCCGAAAAACCCGCGCCATACCGCATACCCGGTCCGCAGTGCAGATAGCGGCGGATCGTCCGATATCGATCGCCGCCATCGACCGTCGTGCGTTCGTGCATCGCCGGCGCTCGCAATTTGCCGTCGGCAGTTGGCTGTTGCGTCCCGCGTCCGTTACCGTCTCTACCGGTTACCGCGTACCGGCAACCGGCGTCTAGCGACCGGCGGCTTTGGCGGCAGTTTACCGATTCGACGGCGGTTTACGATTTCCGCGCGTCGCGTCATTTGCCAAGTGATCGGCGGCGTCGTCGCGTCGGGTGATTTTGGATTTTTATTTTTCTCCGTTTTCGCGTGCCGCGCCGAGGTGAGTAACGATAGGATAATATTATGTTTAATTTCAAACCACCGTTCGTCGATTTGACGTCCTTTTTATAATTTATTAAACCCCGCTGATTACACCCACAGAAACGTGTCAATACCCTAACACGTACTCTCTAAACCCACCGTCCAACGTGGTCTAAACTTCCTCCTGGCGGGTTTTTTCCTGTCGTTTGTGCGACCACATGGGTTTTCGACGTCACCCAAACTCCGTCCCACGCCCGAGTATTCGTTTTGCTTTTCGGTCGGTGCCCATTTTGGAAACTCGCGATTTGCTTCATATTATGAAGCCGATCGCAGGTAGGTGTAAACTTTAGTGTTGTATTCAAGTCAGTGGCGATGCCACGCATAATATTATAGGTAGTTACGAGACGGAAAGTCTGTCGCGGTACTAATCATCATTTTTATTCCGAGTCATTTTTGTCTCGTTCTACTCGTTGAATGTGTCCGCCTGTAATTTTACGTTTTCACATATTAATTCCGGAAATCGAACACACGTGACAAATCGTCACACGGCGAATCATTTCTATTCGTCGTCTTATATCCTTGTGCGGTGTGTGCACGATGATAGAGAAAATGTCTGTCGTAACGTTTGGTTGAGATCTCTTGATTATCGATGACTCATGTTTGTTGTCTGCCAGCTCTACCTGTTGAATGTTGTCGCAACTGAATCTCGTGAGCTTTGCATTTTCGTGACTCGTCCACAACTAATATATTTATCAATCGTTAGTATAGTTTGTACCCTCTGGAGATTGTCGTGTGTATAGTCATCTTGGTTTTTCCACGCTACACCACTGCTCGGAGAGAACAGACGTGACCCACACTTGCTCATCCTCACACTACAACATTCGTTCATCCATGTCTACATTTGTAAATTTTTATGAAAATTATAGTTTATCAAAAAAAATTAACACGTTGATGGTCAGTTTTGTGGCCGCAGTGGAAAAAAAACGATCTTTAAAACGTCAATTTTCATTACTGCTGTAGGGTTTTATGCTATAGGGCAGTGCAAAATTGTCCACTGAGATGTCGGGGGACAACAATCTATCCCCTCATAAGACACCATTGAAAATATCACTGCTATAGCAGTGATGACAATTTTTGGAAGGATTTTATGATACTGCTATAGCAGTTATATTTAAAAGTGTCCCCCGACATCAATTTTTAATGATGTTTTCTAATATTTTGTTAGTTATTGATACACTATTTATAGTTGATGTGTCTTACCATAATTATTATTGTACATGATGTAATTTGGCACAATAATAATTTAATATTAAGGTACTTAGTGTAATCTTACATAAATATGCTATTAACTAATTATGCAACAATTCTTTCCTGATCATGATGTAATTGGCCAATGATTCCTATATTTAATATTATAATATCTAGGAGTATTAACATTGACTATATTTACAGATATTACAGCTATTAATAGGAATATTTGTCATCTCTGTAATATTTTTGCCTGTAAAACTGTATACAGATATTAACACATTGAGTGCCTCGTCGTATTGACAATGTCCATGTAGTCAAAACTAGACCAGCTCTATGTCTCGACTTAATCTGACCTCCCTCCTCCCTAACTTGAAACAAATAGGTACTCAATATCAAAATCAGTATACTTTAATTTTAATTTTAGTTATTACTTAGCATACTACAATAGGTATTTGATTGAAATGTGTTCATTATTATTAACCAAAATCTCGACCAAAATGTATAATTTTTGTATAACAATGAATGATAATTAATTTCTCTCTAGTGGAAAATCTGAACCAAATATACAATATTTTTAATGTTAAAATTGTATTATATTTTACCAGTATATTAATAATGTAGCTCTTATGAGGGCGATACACCTACATTTGTTGTCTCCGTCTTACCAGTGCATAACATATCAAATTTTGCGCTCCACAGATCACATTGAACTCTGTTAGTTAAAAAATTAGAGTGAATTTACCTCAAATAAAATTGTTATCTAGGGCATTTCATAGGCTTTTTGTTTTATTTTAATTTTAAAGCGATATCCAAGTATTTAAAAATTATAAATTGTTTGTATATCTTAAAATACTCATAACTCTCTTTAAAATTGAAATATAACAAAAATCCTATCAGATGCCCTAAATAATAATCTTATTTTTAAATTTTTTTATAGGTAAATTCACTCTTGTTTTTAGACTAACAGAGTTAAACGTGATCTGCGGAGCGCAAAATTTGATATGTTACGCACTTGTAAGACGGAGACAACGAATGTCTGTGAAACGTCCTCTTATCAATCTTAAATTACTTGTATTACTTAATAGCATACTTTTTTTTTCTCATTCAAATTAAAGTACAGGTGCACAAATTATATTCTTAATTATCATTTAGAAATGTTTTTTATTTTCAGATACGATGGCAGTTTGTTTTGTTTGTGATTCAAAATTGTATGGGGAACGAACACGAGTATGTTCAAGCATTACACCACACAGTAATTCACCATACCCAGAAAAGATTGCTGAACTCGTGGGAGAAGACTTTGTTATTATTGTCACACCTGCGGATCACATGTGCAAGCGATGCTCAGCCCTTCTCATTCATATCGACAAGCTGGAAAATGATATGAAACTTGTTAAAAATGCATTGGTATCATACATTCAAAAAAAATATGGAATGTTGCCTGCTGATCAGCCTGTTACTTCTATTCAAGTACTTATACATTTATTTTGTGCCTATGTCTCTATATAATATTTAACTATTTATTATTTTTTTCTTTTGCCTTGTCTAGGTTGTCAATGGGAATTTAAGGACCGATGAACTCGAAGTAGGTCAGAGAAGAGTTCCTAGTGGTCTGACAGTTAGAGATCCTTCCACTAGTGCTGGTGGAAGTAATGCTCCTTTAAGAACAAGACCGGACGCTTCAAAAATTAAAATTTACAAATGCGGTTTTTGTCCATTCCAATCCAAAGACCTTGGTCACGTTCGGTATGTTCATGAATAATATTTTCCCAATACACACTCTTAATTTATTTATATTTCAGTTTCCATATGCGTTCTCACATGAAAAAGAAAGATGATGAAAAATCAAACCAAACTGTGACAAAAACAGTTACTCAGGTAATAAAATATAAGAATTTTATTATACAATTAAGTGAATAAAAAAAATCTTAGATTGTGCAGAATATAGAAATATATGAGTATTAAAACTTAATTTGGATTTTATAAAGTAATTGTAAATGTAAATCATATTGATTATGCCGCAAACTTTAACAGGGGCTCAACAATCATACTATTGTAAGTTGTTTATTAGAGCTACCGGGCAATTTTTAAGAACCTGCTGTATTTCAGAATAAGATAGTTTATATATTATGTTGGATTTCATAATATGTACAAACATTTTGTCGAACAGTCTGCTGATTACCTATATTTTCTTTTTAACGCAGTCATCGACCGCGCATTCTCTAGAACTTATCGTTATTTATTTCATATTATGAGTCGTGCAAAAGATGAAAATTGATAAAATAATCAACCTGTAATGTTTCGTTTAAAACTCCATATATTGTTACTCTTCAAATTGGTTCAATAATTTTCATCACTACAATTATTGTTGCAAATTAAACACTATTACCATCTTTTTTCTAGTCCCTTAAAATGTTTTATTGACTATTTATTCCTTGAAATAAGTATTTTTTTTATCTTGTATGAACTTATATGTACAACTTATAAATATAAAGAAATCTAAATTGATTTTAGCTACTATAAGTAAAAATGGTTCTCATTTAACAAATTATTATCCCTTTTTTCTATTTGTTTTGTTTGAATGTTCTCAGCAGCAACAACATCAAAACCAAACACATCAGCTGAAGTGTTTACCAAACAAACAACAGCAACCAAAAAAAAAGTTGTACAGATGTCAAGTATGTTCTGCATCTTTTGATAGCAGATCGGATTGCCTGGATCATATTCAAAAGGATCACAACCAGCAGCAACCCACATCCACAACACAGGTTAAATGACTTATAATTTCCAAAATTCACTTATGACTTCTTAAATTATTATTTTTAGGAACAGGAAAATTTACAACAGGAAAACTTACAACAGGAAAACGATGTTACTATGGAAGTCACCGCGCCGGTATTCCAACCACACAATATACTAAATTCTATAGAGAATCAACCGAACGTGATCAAGACTGAGGATGATAGTAATTTAGCTGACGACAAACATACTATGGACACAGATCTTGACATGTTGTTAAAGGACACTATCCCAGATGAAAACTCTGAAGTTCCTATGCAAGAAACACAGAATATTTCTGAAAATATGTCCGGACAAACAGAACTTATGCAACCTAACCAAGAAATCCCCGCATCAAACGTTGATATGAGTGACATGGCAATTGGAGGTGGTGAAACTGGAACAGACCATTTAGACATTGAATCGATGTTGGCTGCCATTCACAATGATGTCTCTTCCCCGAACGATGGCGGAAATACACAAAATTTTTTATGAAAATGTAAAAACTCGGTAATGTTTTATCCTTAAAAATTATTAGGCTATTATCACTCGATAATAAATTAAATTTTTTTTCTCATACCTGAACATATTTATTAAATTTTAAAAAACAAATTTGTTTTACAAAGTACAAATAATTTTAAGCAACAACTTTTTTATATTATGAATTGTTTTGAAATAAAACATTAATTTTGGAAAACAGTATACATAATTATTTGGACTAAAATGTTTCTAATTTAAGTAGGTATGTTTGATTTAGTTGTATAAAGTTATTTTTTTAGGAGCTCTTCCAACTTGCCATTTTGTGACATCTTTCTTACGTCAGAGCCTCCACCAATAAATACGCCATTCACAAACACCCGTGGCACCTAAAATAATAATAAATATAGCAAATCTATTCAATAAATTAATTAGTATCAATAAATTTACCGAACGAGCGCCAGTTATTCCTTCTAAAGCATCTTGAATATCATCCATGTCTTCTCTCTTATCTAAATCGATGGATTTGTAAGTGGCTTTCAGCTTATCAAAACACTAGCACATTTTTAAAATTAAAACAAATTGTTATTAATCCTTATGTTGTATAGATAAGTATTTAAATTCTTACTTCTTTAGCCATCTGACAGTAGCCACAGTCTGATTTTGAGAAAATAACAATAGGGTCGTGCGCAACGGCGTCTTTAACAAACTGTGTAGCAGCCATCACTTGAGTTGGAGAGGGTATTCTTCTGCTGGAAAGTGAACCCATTAGTTGAAATTAGTTATATATTGAATCGTTTTATGCTTTTTCACAAAAGTGCAGTGGAAAATGCAATCAGTATGTTTGAAAGTAATTTGTCTGTCAACACATCAACTAGTAAACATAAGTACTATAGAACAAATTAAAATTGGCCTAGTTAGCTCTAATTTAAAACTCTCATTTTCGAGCATTGGATAAGTCATAACTAAAATATTTTATAATGTTAAATATGGACTAAATAAATAGTTGAGTTAATTATAATCAAGTTTTATTTTAATAATATGATTAAAAAATAACATAACTAGAATAGTCATAGGCCTTTGGTAGGGCATTTGCTGCCCCGCTCATAACTCAAAATTAAAGCATTCAAATAGGACAGTGGTTGTCAACCTTTTTGGGTCCACGGCTCCTTTTGATTTTGAAATAAAATATACGGCTCCCATACGAACATTTAAAATAAACAAATTTACATTACTTATAATAATTTTAATCTAACTATTGCGAACGGTGTGCGTTTTACAACTGATAGATTATATTACGAGGCAAATCATTAAGTACCTACCTAATTGTAAATAGTAATCGAAATATGCTATTACTCGATATCGCAAACACGGTTATCGACGGTTATCTCACACATGCAACATGTAATATGTATTGGTGCGCCGAAATTTTATTTTTAGTTTCTATTGCGAACGCGGCTCCCTTGATAATAACCGGCGACGCCCCTGGGAGCCGCGACGCACAGGTTGAAAACCCCTGAAATAGGACATGTAATTACATAAATTATATTGATATCGGAGCATGCTCCTGCCCTTAAAACAATTTCCGCGGTTGCCAACAATAATAGTAAAATAACAAATATATTAAGCTTATTGTTCTTATTAACATAGATTGAAGAAATAACCTCGGAAAAAACTGTGCATATAAATCAATGTTTATATAAACAAGTAAATTTAGTCAAAGTAACAACTACCTAAATAATTTCAAGAACATTTCTTTGATGCTTAATACAAATTACTTGTGCATTGGAAAAAAACGAGGAAAAAATGTATTTTATTATGACTTTACTCTAATTGTATGGCAATATAAGTTGTGTAGTTATCCCATAAATACTATGGTATAGTAGTAGTACATTTGAGTAGTTGAACCAGGTATTGTTAAGTACAACTTACTATCTCATGTCTAATTATAAATATAAATTTTTGAAAGAATAATAACAATCACTAAAGTCGAGTTAAGATTTTATAACCACTTTATAGTAAACATATTTCGACATGTTTTTAATTTAATTATTTAATATTACTTAAAATATTTCAATATTTGTACAGAGTTACAACACTGTAGTTTTGTACTTAGTGAATCTAGTTTATTTATTTTATTGAAATTAATTTCAAGTGAGTATTGGTACCTACTTAAAATTAATTTATTAGATAAAAAAAAATGCTGATCGTGCATTCTCAACTACCTATAAAAGTTATGAATTTATTGCAAAAAAATGGTATTTATTTAATTTACGGTAAAAGATATCTACCTACTTTGTACATACAATCCTCATATTTATTTTACAAGAGACAGTTGAAGACGTTTAACTTTATTGTACATGACAAATATACTAGAAAATCATGACGTACGCAACATAAAAGTTATTAAATATACATTTTGAGTTGCCAGCTATACACACGCGGAACATGACATAAATCTATCAAAAACGTATATTTATCATCCACACAACGGTCACCGGTATCAACTTGTTAGGGGAACAGGAAATGCTAACGATTTCAAGTAACATGTTACTTAATCTGAATTTTTGATTTTACTCATTTACATAAATTAAACACTAGGCAAAAAACAGTTTAAATGACAAGCGGTTTCTTGGGTGCAAATATAGAAAAACAGAGAAAGGGGTTTTAAATTATAAGACTAACTTTTTAAGAAAATGAGCCAATTACGATATTAAGTTTTATTTTTATTAGTAGAAGTAAAATAAAATACTATAGGCCATTAGAAATATCAGTAAAAGAAAAACAATTTAATAGATCTGTGACCTTAAATTTCACCAACTTATTATCATCAATTTTATTATGAGTTGAAAACCTCAAATGAGGCTCATGATGAGTGAGGGTACTATCGATGGAGAAAAAAAAATTATAAGTTTGCTAGTAATTCAAAACTAAAATATTAAAATGTAACTCATAGACTCAGATAATTTTTCATTTTGTTTGGTTAAAATGTGTACAATGTTATGACATGTTATAATAGTATTACAATTAAGTTCGATAATTTTTATTTAATTTTTTTGTTGGTTTTATAAATAATAACAAACTGATCTATTTGTTCGAGGATTTATTTATTTTAATTTATTGTGTTGAAAATATTAATAGGACGCCACACCCGCATGAGTTGTCTAAGTCTTACAAAACGTACGACATAGTAAATTTTACGTTCAAAATAATCTGTAGCACTATGTTATTACCTATTATAAAATTTAAATGCAAGATTATTATCTAGTGCAACTCGGAGATTAATGATATTTTAATTACATAGCAAACTATCAGAATTTTTAAATGAAAATATCAAAAATACCATTTGTTCATATTCTTACCATTAAATTTAAAAAAATTAAAAAAAACAATTCACTGTTGTATCAAAACAAATTCTTCTGAAAATTAATTTTACAATGTTAATTCAGTACTGATAACAATAAGTACTCGGAAAAAGTGACTTTAGTGACAAAAATAATAGGAAAAGTAAAAAGAAAAGTGACATGAAATAAGATGCCTTATTATTAGAGCTCAGATTTATATGCATTTAAAAAGTGTCAAATATGAAGCAAATATGCAAGGAAAAAGTGGCTAAATATGCAGTTATATGCCATATTATACATTTATAAAATGTGATTTTTTTTTTTAAACAATCTATCAGAAACAAAAGAATATTGAAATATTTAAACATTTAATACTTTAAAAACCAAAATGCAATATTTTATAATCTTCATTTTTTCATATTTTAGATTGTTTGAAAAACAATGTCTAAAACTCAGAAAACTTAAAAAAAGAATCAAAAAAAAATAAATATTATTAGTTATAAAAAAACAATTTGTAAAATTGAGTTACTGCCTCATTTGTCGAACTAACAACATAGTATGCCGAAATTCGGGTATATGTGATATATTGTTGTTGATATAATATTATCTATACGTGCTCTGATCTCATGAAGTGTTGCAAAAGACAATATTTTAACAATATTCTTGTAGGACTCTGTTAACTTTTCTCTTTTTAAATTACTAAAATATATTTATCTTAACATGTTCACTGCGTATCATATTTTTTTATACTTGTCGTGACGCTGATAAAGTTCTAGTTTTAAAAAAAAATTTCCTAAAAATTGAAAAATTAAAATATCAGTGTACAGTTTGCACATAATTATGAAACAATGCTTATAGAAGACGCTGACAAAAAACCAAAAGTTTAATCGTAACGCTGACCAAATTATATTCCATTAAATAACAAGATACATGACGCCAATTGTCGTCATTTAGCACATGCGAACTATGTACAATGACGCCAATTGGTGTCTTACGCAGCAAACGTGTTAAATTAAAACAGGTAATTTATTAAAAAGCCATTAAATATGCATGTTATTATATACAAACATGTTAATATTTATGAACCAATAAGCAATAATCTTCTAAATATGCAATATAAAATTTGGTGTTTAAATACAATGCTAGATGAATATGTGGACATTTTAGAACCCCAAGACGTGCAAATATGCAGATAGTGCAAATATGCAAATGCATATAATTCCGGGCTCTACTCATTATCATAAGTTTTTAAAATATAAGCTACTGCATGTATTTTGTATTGAATCAAGATTTATCAAAAAATTATGATACATTAAAATTTTATTTTATTTTAACAATTGTAACTATAACATAAATAACATTTCTTTTTAGTTAACATAATATAAATTAACAACAAATTGCTATAAACCCTTAGGTATTAAAATATTAACAATGTAACTAATCCTAGTATCCTAGAAGGTAACACAATTTCTTTTTGTAACCATTTTTGTAATTTTTGTACCCATAGGGCGTGGACCCAGGTTATAGTCGTCATGATCACGAATTAAGATATACTATCATATATTTCATGTTCAGAATTTTGTTGGCAAAAAAAAAATGTCTACCGGATTAATAAATAATAAGGTGTAAACACTTTCACCAGCATTACAATTTACAGCTGCGGTTATTAACCCCAACCATAGAATATAATTTATACATGAGTATTTTTTTTTTAAATAATAATATATTCTATGCCCGAACGCCACTTGGCTCAATCAACCGATAAGCCAAGTCAATAGATTTAGAATCTTATTGAAAAATCTCAAAAAAGTGAGAAAAGATACCATAATTATGAAAACAGAAAAAGTAAATAAAAGTGATTAATAAAAAATAAAAAGTGACTAAAGGTGAAAAAAGTGAGTCGCTACCAGCACTGGGCCATTATGAGTTGTCAAGACTTAGGCAACACACGCAGGCAGTAGCGTATGTACAAATTATTTTCACTATGGGCCAATTTTGGCAATTTATCACTAGTCAAACATGACTAACATAGCCATAACTATACATATTTTAGGGAGCTGCAGGGTGGTTATAATTATGACATAAACAAATAAATGATACAAATAAAAACCGCGCAATTTAATTTTATAATAATTAGGTATGTAAAATTAATTTTTTAATTGTTTTTAAAAAAATATTGATAATTTCATATATAGGTATATATTTTAATGTTATCTAACTTTGAATTTAACATTCAAAGTCATCAAAGCAAGTCCTGACAATCATTTCCTTGTTGATACCTCAAAAACGATTTTAATCAACCGGCTAAATTAATCATGGTGAAAAATTGTAAACAGTGTACATATATAGGTATGAAATGCTTTAATTGAACCTGCAATTCCACTATGGGCTCTGGCCTAGGGGGCCTCCCCCCTATATACGTCAC